CTGAAGCTCTGAGGCCGCTCAGAGTAGGGTAAGGCGGCAGCGAAAGAGGCAGATGAAGCGTTGAAATGCTTCAGTCAGCTGCTGCTTCGGTGTTTTGTGTGCCTGCAGATCTCTCACAGTGCCTCCTTGACTCGCTGACGACGGCCGCATAGCCACACCATTGCTTCACTTGGGCCGCTGGTGGGCATTGCTGACGGTCAGTGGCTCGCCTGACGACTTCCTCGTCTGATGGATGCTTGTGTACCCCCTGCTGTCCACTCTACTGTGTGTGTGCCTGCAGCCGTCTGGTGTTGGGCTGCTGACAGAGATTCCTTCATAGCCAAGTGCTTTAAGGTGCGCACAGACGCACACTCATCTCGAGTACTGATTGTCACCTTGTGTTGTGTGTGTCCTTGATTCAGATCAGTTGACTGACTGATGACGTCCTCGTCCCAGCCTCCCCCTGCCCCTCCCAATGGCCACACCGCACCGCCGGCAGTCCCGCCCCTGCGCAGCATCGCCATCAGCAAGGCGGCTGAAATGGCCATGTCACCTGACCCCAACAGACGTGCCGCTCTCCGCTCACAGATCAGCGGCAGCCATCTCGATGATGTCGACACGATGCTCTATGAGGTGAGGCGCCGCGTGGATGAGCACATCAGTCGTCTGGCGCTGGCGGACGTCTTGGCCTTCGACATTGGCGGTGATGTGGAGGCCGGCTTGAAGGTGGTCTATGTGCTGGAGCGGGGCAGTGGCGAGGAGTGGCGGGCGATGGGGCGGTTTCTTCGGCTGGCCTTCATCTACCGGCTGACCCCCAACACGACGCGGCCCCTCCATCTGTCGGCTGCTTCGCTGCCCACAGCAACGGCCTTCCACCAGCTGCCCCTCGCCATGGGCATCTACAAGATCATCGGCCAGCAGCTCACATACAAAGGGACCACACTGGCGCTGCAGCAAGGCGACAACGGACACTATCGGATCCGCAATGAGGCGCTCTTTCGGGTGGTGCCGTTGGGTGAGCTGCCGGGCGGCCATCCCTATGCCGAGGGCTACAAGCGGACCGATCCAGTCATCCGATGCGGCCCCGTACTCTATCGCTCCTTCTCGGTACTCCTGCTGAACAGGGTGCCCCGCTGGTGGCGCTATGGAGAGGGAGTGGGCGTGCGGAGTGTGCTGTGGGCAATCATCGGGCGTGACAATCATCGCTATGGCCGTCTGCTGCTGAGGACCGACGACATCACAAAGGATTTGGGCATCCCTTTCGACTTCCGCTACGACCGGGGCGATCTAAATGATGCTGGCGCGACTGACGACCGTCGTGTCTCTCAGTGGATTCCGGCCGAATGAGACCATCGCTGCCTATCTGTGGGTGGGGAATGGTGCCATCGAGGGGAATGGTACCATCGAGCTGTTCACAACTGAGCGACCTGCTTGCCGCCGGTCTCAGCCGCTTGCCGACCGCTATCCCGAGTCGATGCCCTTGTGGCGCCATCTGCTGGGGCGATTCGATCTCGAGAGTGATGTCATCGACAGGGGATGGGTGATGGGGTGAGCGGCGGTGGCTGTCGGCTGGGTGTTGGCGGTGCCCGAAATGGGTGGAGAGGGAGGGGTGTTTGCCTGTCTGTCTGCCTGACGAGCAGTTGCGGAAGGCGATGAGTGCGTTTAAATCACTGGTGTGACTGATTGCATTGTGTGCCGTCAGAGGGGGTGGCTGGACGCCCTACTAGTTCATGTCAGACTCACTTGACTGCACGGCTTTAATCAAATGGATGACTGAAAGAACCACACAGTTATCGATCGCCGAGATGTCAGCTGGTTGAGTGCTGGTTTGGCGTCCACGGGCGAGCGGCTCGACGAACACTGATCAACATGATGCACACGAGTCGACTCAGTCACAGGAAGTCACCACACATTCACACACACATCGACACACACACAGCGACACACACAGAGAGAGAGAGAGAGTCCATGAAGACCACACATATGGCCGGCCAGTCGAGCAGTCTTCGTGAGTTCACCATGGATGGCCACACACATACAACCACTCAGTCAGCGGAAGCCCGGCAGTCACTCAATTTGAAGTCACCCGTCCACCATGATGCCGAACGTCACAAGAGCCTTTGTTTCCAACTGGTACACACAGTCTTTCCATGCGGTTTGCAAAGGAAGGAACACCCGATGTCTGTCTGTCTGTCTGTCTCATCCTCTTGATCGAAATCAATCTGTACAATGACTGGCGGCGAAGGCCCTCCAGCACACCATATACTATCTACCTAATTGCTCTTCCTCCTCCCCCAGCACACCCATCACGGCAGTGCGCGTCTTGTCGTGGGGGAACGACTCGGTTGAGTAGATGCTGACCCTGCGGTCAAACCACCAATCGCCCAGCCAAATGAGTGCCATGTGCCCCTCGCCCATCGCCTCACTGCCCAGCACCACCAGCCGCTGATGCCCCCCCCACCACTGCAACTTCCCGTCGAACAAAGCCACTCCCGCCCCCCTCTGTGCCACTTTGCTGGGAGGGGCCGACAGCAGCCCTCTCACACGCCGGGAGGCAGAAGAGGAACTACTGTCAGACCACCAGGGACGAGAGGCTTGAGGGTTCCACATCCAGGACCTGATCCAAGGGATGTGGCCGCAACCGACCAGCCAGTAGAACAGGACGATTGCCACCATTGAGGTGTAGTTTGGGTGCGTCAAGCCGTTCATCTTAGTGGGCGGATCGGCGGGGTCAAATGGTACGTGAGGGAAAAGGGGGCTGGCAGAAGGGAGGAGGGCGGGGGCGGAACGGGCTGGACGTGCGACAAAGACACCTTCGTGGAGAATCGTGTCGCCGTCCATCAGTCGTCTCTGCTGGCCTCTGTGACTCACAATGACGCCCCGGCTGAGTATCTTCCACTGCCGGACGGCCTCCGTCTCGCCGATGAAGGCCGCCCGGCTGCCGAACACACCGAAGTTGCCATCGCCCAGCACCACAGGCCTATTGCCTTGCAGCAAGTACAGCATCTCCAGATGAGGCCGCCATCTGGCCCAATTGCCGCCCCTCTCGAGCATGAACAGTCGGCGTGTGAGCTGTTGGATGAGGTATGCGGTGCAGCAGCCGTGGCTGAGTGCCGCAGGGAGGGGCAGCTGGGGGATGAGGCACACCAGGAAGCCACCGAGGCCGAGAGAGGCCAGCAGCGTGCCCAGCAGCCGCTGCAGGATGGGCAGGAGTCGTGTGAGGACGGCGGCGGTGAATTGGGTGGGATGGCCGTCGACGAGGGCCTCCAGCTGTGCGTAACTCCTGACGTACTCGGCAACCGTCGGGGCGACATCTTGCGGCACGTCAGCGGCACCGATAAGGCGATCATGCTGCTGGTGCTGGTGGTGGTGGTTGGCAGAAGGTGCACTGACCGCACCTGCAGCCCAACACACACAGACAGCTGTGTGCCGGCATTGTCGTGTCCTTCTGCAGCGAACTTGTTGGTTGCCATTGGCGGCAGGCGCAGCCGACGAGGACGGCTCGTCAGCCACAGAGCCACCAGCCCCAGCAGCAGCAGCCGACATGATCTGCCCACTCACAAACAGACACATCACGGATCATCACATCAGTGAATGGATCTGCGGCGCCTCATCGATCTGTCAACATCCGAGCAGCCTGGTTTCGCTTCCCGTACCTTGGTTGCTTTGCTGCCCATGATGGTCTCACTGAGTGCTCTCCCCCTCTCCCGCTCAACCGCACAACGATACTCAAAAGGCGTCAAATCTGCCACACACACACAGAGACCACACAGACGGTCATTGCTGATTCCATGAATCCCTCCTGCGTCCCCTCCCTCACCTCAATGCGTCCGATCAGCGTCACTCATGGAGATGACGGCAGCATCTGTGGTGATTGATGTCATCACAGCGGCTCTTTGGGCATCTTCCCGACACTCTACGCGGCCCTGTTGTCACCAGAATATCGCAAAAAGATGACGTAAAGCCAAAGCTCGCAGATCGCCGAGAGCCAAAGGTTTCTAGCTCTCAAGACGCTCAGAGAGGGTAAGGTGGCGGCGAAAGAGGCAGATGAAGCGTTGAAATGCTTCAGTCGACTGCTGCTTGGTGTTTTGTGTGCCTGCAGATCTCTCACAGTGCCTCGTTGGCTCGCTAACGACGGCCGCCTAGCCACTCGATTGCTCCTCAAAGTTTGGGCCGCTGGAGCCATTGCTGACGGTCAGTGGCTCGTCCGATTCCTTCGCTGTCGCATTGACTGACACTGATGGATAATGCTGCTGTGTGTGTGCCTGCAGAGTCACCAGCGCATCCATCACATATGGCGGTGGGCTGCTGACAGAGATTCCTTCATAGCCAAGTGTTCTAAGGTGAGCACACTCATCTCGGCAGCACTGATTGCCACTTTGTGTGTGTCCTTGATTCAGGTGGGTTGACTGACTGATGGCGTCCTCTGCCCAGCCTCCCCCTCCCCATGCCACTCGCCACACCGCCCCGCCGGCAGTCCCGCCCCTGCGCAGCATCGCCATCAGCAAGGCGGCTGCAGTGGCCATGTCACCTGACCCCAACAGACGCGCCGCTCTCCGCTCACACATCAGCAACAGCCATCCCGATGATGTCGACACGATGCTCTGTGAGGTCAGGCGCCGCGTGGATGAGCACATCATTCGTCTGGGGCTGGCGGACGTGTTGGCCTTCGACATTGGCGGTGATGTGGAGGCCGGCTTGAAGGTGGTCTATGTGCTGGAGCGGGGCAGTGGCGAGGAGTGGCGGGCGATGGGGCGGTTCCTTCGGATGGCCTTCATCTATCGGCTGACGCCCAATGCAACGCGGCTCCTCCGGCTGTCGGCTGACGCACTGCCCACAGCAACGGCCTTCCACCAGCTGCCCTTGGCCATGGCCATCTACAAGACGTTCAGCCAGCAGCTCACACACAACACACCCAGCCTGGCGCTGCAGCAAATCGGCAGTGGGAGCTATCGGATCGGCTATGAGTCATTTCGTGTGGTGCCGTTGGGTGAGCTGCCGGGCGGCCATCGCTACGCTGAGGGCTACAAGCGGACTGATCCCGTCATCCGCCAGGGCGCCAATCTCATACGCTCGTTCTCGGCATTCCTGCTGCACAGGATGCTCTTCTGCTGGTCGGATGGACAGGGAGTGGGTCACAGGAGGGTGCTGTCGGCCAACATCGGCCGTGATGATCCTCGGCGTCGCCGTCTGCTGAGGGCCGACGACATCACAGAGGATTTGGGCATCGCTGTCGACTACCGCTATGATGGGGGCGATCTGAATGATTCTGGTGTGTGGGACTTTCGTCGTCTGATTCTGAGCGGCTTCCGACCCAACGAGACCGTCATATGGTGGTGGAGTACGGCTACATCTACCTGCACACGACCGAGCGGCCTGCTGCCGATCGGTCTCAGCCGCTCGCTGACCGCTACCCCGAGTCGGTTGGTGCCGCCCGCCGTCTGCTGCGACCATTTGAGCTGGAGCGTGACGTACAGTAATGGGGTGAAGGGTGTTGGTGGTGCATTTAACTGGTGGAGAGGGTCTGCCCATCTGGCAGTGACGAGAATTGGTGGAGGGGAACTGAGTGCGTCTGCATGGCTTATGTGGACTGAATGCATTGCGGTCAGGATGGATGGGCGAGGGGGGGCTTAACTCATTTTTTTGTCAGGCTCACTGACTGCATGACTGAATGAACCACTCAATCCTGAGCGACGTGTCAACTGTTTCGGTGGCAGGTTTGGCCTGCACGGACAACATCATGACACACACACTGATGAACATGATCACAGGACGTGACCGGCCGACGCCGTCGGCTGCTGTGTTGATGAGGGTGTGACAGACAGACAGACAGACAAGGGACCTACTCGATGGATGCCGTGTGTCTGTCATAAGAAGTGTGTGTGTGTGAGTATGCGAGTGAGTCTATGGGTGTGTTTGTCCATCTGTGTGTGCGCGTCTGACTGACATATGAACCCGTCAGCCAGCAGAACCACTCACTGTCTTTCATTTTGCCCATCAAATGACACGGGGCTGATTCATTCCCGTGTGCCATTAACACAGACACACGCCACGTCATGCCTCACTCACCAGACAGACATACGCAGGATGCAGCCAAGGGAACGGACACAGAGGCCCATGCAAGCAGACGGGCAGAGAGCAAAAAGCCCTTGCCCGGCTGTCTGTCTGTCTGTCTGTCTGTCTCCCCTCTCATTGACCGCCGAGCATCTCTCTGTCTGTCCTGGATGAACAGTCGACACACTTACGGCAAAGCCCCCGATCACATCACAGTGCAGGCCGTAGCTTGCCTGTCCTCGTCCACCTCCCTCTCCAGCTGCCACACTTTGCCCTCCAGGTGCTCCCCCAGCACTCTCATCACGACAGTGCGCGTCTTCCCGTGGGGGGCCGGCTCGGTTGAATAGATGAAGACATCACGAGGATAATAACACTCCCGATCGCTCAGCCAAATGATCGCCATGTGCCTTTCGCCCATCGCCTCGCTGCCAAACACCACCAGCCGCCGATGGTGGCTCTCTATCTTCCCGTCCGGCACCGATGATGGATCTCCCTTTCGTACCACCCGGGCAGACCACTTCTTGTCGAACACGGCCGCCCCCGCCCCCCTCTGTGCCACTTTGCTGGAAGAGGTCGCCAGCAGCTTACCTACACGCCGAGATGCAGTGGAAGCAGGATTGTAAGACCGCCAGGATTTGATCCAACGAATGTGATCGCCATTATAGAGCCAGCCGAAAAGAACGAAGGCCACCATGGAGGTGTAGCTAGGGCTCGTCCAGTCCTTTAGCTCTGTGGACGGATTGGCGGGATCGAATACATTAGGGAAGACGGGGCTGGCAGAGGCGCGGGGGTTGAGGAAATGGAAGCCGCTCGTGTGGAAGCTGTGGCGGAAAATCCAGTTGCCGCCCATCAGTCGTCTGTGCTGGCCATCATCATCCCTGACAGTGACCCCCCAGCTGAGTATCTTCCACTGCCGGACGGCCTCCCTCTCATCCAGAAAGGCCGCCCGGCTGCCGAAGACACCGAAGTTGTCGTCATCCAGCACCACAGCCCTCTCGCCCCTCAGCAAGTACAGCATCTCCAGGTGAGGCCGCCATCTGTCCCAGTCGCCGCCCCTCTCGAGGATGAAGAGCCGGCGGCTGAGCTGGTCGATGAGGGCAGTGGTGGCCGCACCTTGGGTGAGCTGAGGTAGGGGCACCTGCACCAGGCCACCAAAGATGGCGGCCACCACGGCGGACAGCCGCCGCTCGAGGATGGGCAGCAGGACGGCGGCGGTGAATTGGGTGGGATGGGCGTCGATGAGGGCCTCCAGCTGTGAGTAGCTCCTGACGTACTCGGCGACCGTCGGTGAGAGGTGTTGCGGCACATGAGCGGCAGGGACAGTGGCTGATGCGTCAGAGGATGTCTGCAGTTAACATCAACACAGACAGACCGTTTCACTGTAGGCTGCCGCTCCCATCGCGTGGCTCACCGCGAATAAGCCATTCAGCCATCGCCACACATCGGTGAACATGCCGGCGGAAGAAGCCCCTAGTGAGTCGCAGATTCTGCGACAATCACACAGAGGAATCACACAGGGATGTCATTGCTGGTGTCATCAGGCCCTCCTGGTTGCCCTTCTCTGACCTCAGAGCATCCAAACGGCGTCGCAGGGATGATGGCAGCTCGCAGCATGCAGATCGATTGCACCACGATGGGTCTTCGTGTGTGGCAGAGACTGTCCTGAAGGCCTCGCACACATGCCCGGAAACAGGAGAGCTCTGCAAGCCAAGCTCGCAAAAGGGATGCTGTGTGTGTGTCTTGCCGCGCTCCTACTTATCCCGGCGGTGATATGTGTATGGGCGTGCACTGGGGGTGTCTGCGGGTCGGCCACCTGCCGCCCCTCTCCGCCCTGGAGAGGGCGGCGGTGCGTTCTCATGCACCCCCAGCACTCCGTGCGTGGTTGTTATAAGGGCGTGTTTGTGTGTGACTGGGCGATCTGCACTGGCTGGCCACCTGGGAATGGGCGGTATCTACGTATGGAGTCATGGTGCC